CAACTGCATTTAGTGCAAAGGCGTCATCAGCAGATACCATCATCTTGAGTTTTGAACCATCAAGTGCGTCAACCTCCCCTAGATAAACAGCAGGAACAGCATGTTGAACTCCTTCCGAATCGTTATATTGTAGACATAAAAAGGGTAGTTGTCCATTTTCAAACTCCTCTAATAGAGGCTTCAGCGAAGAAATTTTCTGTGATTCCATCTTTCTCCGTAGTTCAGTCCGTATGCGTTTTTGTTCCCTCAATTCTTCTTGCAGATCTGTAATCTCCTTGTATGCTGCCTCTGGTAAAAGCTTCCTACTCTTTTTGTCTATAGCTTCGTCACTAAGTTCCAAAGTTAGCACCTCAATCTCTTTCTTGATTTTAGTTAGCTCATCTCTTGCTGCAAGCATTACATTGCTGCTAACATAATTTCCAAAACTTTGCTCAACTAGTTTCCTAGCTTCTTCCAGAGTTCGTCCTGTTTGGAAGGCTTTCATGTCTTCTGATACACTTGATCTGCGAGTGACTTTCGCACCAGCAAGAAGATTTAGCACCATCCCATATGAAGCGGTAAACTGTGATACAAGAGGCTCGAGTCCAGCAAACAGAATCTTACAGCTTTCTTCAGCACCTTCATAAGGAGTTTGAATAAGCACCACATGACCTTTATTATCAATGCCCCTACGTCCAGCGCGCCCGGCCATCTGTAACAGTTCATTTGAACTTAACCGGGTGCGTCCGTTTTCGCTCCTTTTGCTGAGGGATGCAATGGCTGTTGTCCTAGCAGGCATATTGATTCCTGCAGCAAGTGTTTCTGTAGCAAAGACAACCTTGACAAGTCCTCGCTGAAACAGCTCTTCTATAAATGATTTCCATAAAGGTAGACAGCCAGCATGATGTGCTGCAACTCCTTGCCGTAGTCCTTTCACGGCAGTCTGCCTGACAGCATCAGGATACTGAATGCGGAATCTCTTTAAGGCTAGCTCAACCTCACTCGTCTCACAATCATCTAAGAGGTTGAAATCTTCAAGGTACTGAACGGCTGCATCACATCCTTTCCTGCTAAAAATAAACCAAATTGCTGGCAGCATATCCCTTGCCTTAAGTTGCCATAGTGTGTCAGTAATTTGAGGAACCTAAAGAAAATAAATCAAATTAATGAAGGTCAAGATGATATGCCAATCTTTGCTGAGGTCTACAAAAAACAGAAATCAGTAAAGTGTGTAGATAAAAGGCAAATGCTTATTATTGCATGTGTGATGCAGCAAGTACATACTTGCGAACGACGTATTGCATTAATGTCATTCTTTGAAAGAGGTTGTCCATATGTGCTACCAGTATCATCGTAAGCCATCTCATTTACACGTTTTCTTGAATTCCTTCTTCTGCCATCATCTCTGGAAGATCTTATTCCTGAAGCATTAAGTTGTAGATAATTGAGTGACAACTTCCTGTTACATTAGAAGAAAACATTAACCAACAAATATAAATCTGTTTTACCCGAAAGAAAAATGTATGTAGATCAAGTAATTTGGAAGAGCAGAAAAAACAATCAAGGCTACTAGAGCAGTTACGAGTAGGATGAGGATTTGGTAAAAAATACCAACAAAAAGTCAACAGTCTTCTGATTTCTATTTTCATCGTGAATATTCAGCAGGTAATTAGTATGAAGCTTAACAATAAAATATAGACTGCAAGCATCTTATACTCAAGTAAAAGATGTCTTAGAGAAATTTCAAAACAAAATAGAGCACCTTAAAGCTATAACAACTGACAAGCCTACCCTTACAATAGACCTCAAGTTTACATTACTAAGCAAAGAAGAAAGCCAACGAAACGGAAGACATCTTGTTTTAGAATAAAGAATTCAAATTTAAAGACCTGATTAAAGAGAGGAAATACCTATTCATGCGTGTTCCAGTCTCGTCAAGAAGAGGTAGCATAGACGTCTTTGTAGAGAAATGCCAAGTCAAGGGTACTGGTCGCTTGGATGATGTTACCAAGTCAGTTTTACCGTGAATCTAGAAGCAAGATGAAAACAAACAAGATTAATCCTCCTATAATTCCATATCACTTGAATAACGAAAATTAAGAAACTTGTGCTGAAAATTAACTTTTTTTTATAAAAAAAAAAAAAAAAATGACAACCAAGGTGTCCTTTTTTCCCTAGAATTGATGTCACATATAAACATGAACAGTAATGAGATCATCGAAGAAGCCACAGTACCTTACCAATCCAACCAGCCAGCTCATCTGGATTTGCAACTGTTGCCGACAGACATATGAGTTGGACCTTTTTTGGGCAATAAATAACCTGAAATTTCAGATACTTGCTGAGTAAGAATAATGTGATACACACACAAATATGAGAGCAAATACTATTCTGGCAGCTTAAAAATTTTACTTACTATCTCTTCCCACACCGTACCCCGAGAAATATCACTTAAATAATGAACTTCATCCAGCACAATCACATCTACATGAGAAAGACTATCTCCAGAAGAAACCATTCCAACACTGCAGAAAGAAGTATCTAAGTTTGACTTTCACCCTTATCTCCAATAATAAACTTGAGACGTGAAATTTATGTGACAACAATGAATGATATTATCAATAGCAACAAAGAAGAAAATTATTTATGAAGTACATGTAAAGTACATGTGTGTTAGGATCAATAAAAAGATAAACATGGTCCTTATTATTAAACTTTCACACTTTCATTACGAATGTAGCAATTCCATCATGGTTATATCAACTATTCTTAAGTAATGAAGTTTTCCTCTAATCTGTACATTGTACCCAAAAAAATGTCTTTAGACATGTTCTTGTCCCATGAAAAATCAAACAGATTGTAGTAATTACAAATGAATACTATTTAAACTTATTTTATTCTTTAGGACAAAATGTACCTCTGATACAACATATTGCGCAAGATCTCAGTCGTCATGATTATAACCTGAGCATCTTTGTTCACTGCAGAATCTCC